AGTTAGTTAGCAGTACACTTGGTGTTGGGAAATCTACGATTTACAGAGTTATTAAAGAAGAGAAATGTGGTAGTTTTCAAATGCCACGTAATGCTCCAGGGAAACCAAAATTTCAAATAGAATATCATTTTAAAGAAGGACTTCGACGGAAAGTGCATGAATTCTTCTTTAGACAAGAATTTCCAACATTGGATAAAGTTCTTGTCTCAGTTCGAGATGATAAGGATTACCCAGAAATGAGTCGAAGTACGTTATGGAAACTTTTAAAAGAAATAGGCTTCCGCTGGAAAAAGAATCCCAGAAAGTCTATTTTATTAGAAAGAAGTGATATTGTCATATGGAGAAGACATTTTCTAAGAACCATAAAGGAAATGAGAAACCAAAAAAGAAAAATATTTTATCTTGATGAAATATGGATCAACGAGGGTCATACACCAAATAAATTTTGGCAGGATGAAATTGTTACAAGTCAAAGGCACGCTTTTGTAAATAACTTATCTACTGGTTTAAACCCACCATCAGGAAAGGGACGCAGGCTGATAATAGTACACATTGGCAGTTCAGACGGTTTTGTTGAAGGTGGTTTATTAACTTTTGAATCAACTCGTACCGGTGACTACCATGAAGACATGAACGCTGATGTCTTTCAAGAATGGTTCAAACAAATGATAGATCTTCTTCCTAAGAACTGTGTAATAGTAATGGATAATGCAAGTTATCACTCCAGACTTATAGAAGGACTGCCCACAACCAAGTGGTTAAAAAAAGACTTGCAGAATTGGCTGAGTTCAAAAAATATTACGTACAATCCCGCATCTATAAGAAAGGAACTTTATTTTTTGTGTGCCCTTCATAAAGAAAAATTTAAAAAATACGAAATTGATGAAATTGACAAAAATCGTGGAATGACAGTACTTAGATCCCCACCATATCATTGTGAATTAAACCCGATTGAACTGGTATGGGCACAGATAAAGAGTGAAGTTTCAAGAAAAAATACCACTTTTAAAATTCATGATGTTAAACAGTTGTTTTTGGAGGCCGTAAATAATGTAAAACCTGAAAACTGGGAAAAGGCAGTAAATCACACTATTAAAGAAGAGGAAAAAATGTGGAAGCTGGACAATATTACTGATAAAATGATCGAGCCAGTTATTATAAATCTTGGTTCTGAAAGTTCATCTTCTGAATCTGATTTGGATTTGTAACAAGTAGCTGTAAGTTTTATATTAATATTTTTATTCATCTATTTAACATACCTTAGACGGTTTTAAAAACTCTTTTTCTCTTTAGTAATTTTTAAAAATTAAAAAAAAATGTGAATTTTTTAAAACCCTTTTTAACGTAGGCCAGTCAGTTCTAATATAGTGTGTGATAAAAGAGGTCACTTTTGTTTACATACACATAACACTTTATAACACTGAATCAATTCATTTATTTTTTACAATTATTCAAAGTAATTTTTCAATTAATCTTGAGCACGAACATGGAGTGGTCGAAGGTACCAGTTAAAATTATGCTAATTACTCTCTCGTTCATAAAAATAAACTATAAACAAGATATGGTTTTACATAATAATATAACAATATCAGTATTACAATAACTGACTACGTACCATCAATTACATCTTATAGATAAATTAACCATGTTCCTGATTATTTTTCAATCCTCTACTTTTCCACCTTATAATATCGAAAATCGTCGGCTGACAAGTAAAACTCACTAAGTGCAATTTTGAAAGAACAGAGATATTCAAGTTTTAAAGCATATTTTAATGTAAAAAATCCATTTTTGAGCCAATTTTATAACAGAGAATAGGTACCTTCTGTTTTTACCTTCTGTTAGATCAAATTACAGGAATATGCCAAAGACCTATGCATGAATTAAAAGTACACTACACTCCCCCTGGGGGGTCAGGATTGAAGAGAGGGAGGTTTTTTATTCGTAGGTCATCATTGACATAGCATACCTTAAAAAGATAATTAAAACACCATACCAGTTGAGGGTTAAAAATACTATTAACCTTCAAATACAATCTTTCAACTTATTCTTATTTATTGTAGTGAAAAATTACGGCGCGTGGCAACGTTGCTAGGGACTTACCTTTTGCACGCGGTACTCTTTTGCAGGCGATGTAGTATTATCCTATTGAGAGATACTCATCATGCGCAGGGTACTACAGTAATGTGCACACGTTCCAATGAATTTCAGCGACTGTGTTGCCGAATTTATAAAAATATGTCTTCCCTTCTAAAGTTAACATGAGAATAATGGAAATAAAAATTTTTGGCGTCATTGTTTTATTTGATAGATAAAGTGTATGTGTCGTAGGTAAAAATTCGTTCGGAAATATATAAGGACATAGGTACTTCTTTTATTTTATTTAAGGCACGATAAGAAAAAGTAATTTATTCGAAAAAACAATGGGTATATATATATATATATATATATATATATATATATATATATATATATATATTAATGTCTGCATAAAATTAAAAATTTTTTAAAATGTTTTTTTCTCCCGTAACAACTAAACAATGAATGTTCCGAAAGTTTTATTAAAGATGCAGAAATATAACTACTCAGCATAACTAGTTACAGAAAACTGATTTTACTTTGCAATACCTACGAACACAATACACATACTCTTAAATCTCCAACATGATTAAATACGAATAGGATTTGGAGTAGGACGCAGATCCTTTAGCAACTAAAAACTAAGTAAATAATGTTATCCACCATCCACCTAATGTTCACGTTCGTGTGCAAAATATGTTCCGTGTGCAAAGTAGCGTGTATAGCTGCCGATGTTGCCGATAGAAAAATTGTCGCGGGTTCAGATAACGAATAAATTGTTCGAATTTTTCCTTAACAGCTGTCGTGCTAATTAAAAGTTAGTAGAATTGCTTCAAATGTGTGGAAATTTGTATGCGTTATATATGTATGTCATTTTAATGCGTCAATATCATTAATGCGAGTGAATATTAATAAAAATAAAATATATTAGGGCATGTGTCGCAAAACAGGACAACAAAAAACAAAACAGGTATATCGATGAAAGGCAACCGTATATACGTATCTCTGACTGTTTGTCGTCTTCAGTATCCTGTAGACAAGTCACCAAAGGAGCAATGCGACCAATTTGTGGCATTAGAGTTAGAAGACCCTGAAGGTTTCCATGGCAAAAACTAACAATAACCACGGAGGAAGCTATAGCTATCTGAGGAAAGGAATGCCAAACGTTTAAAAAAATAGAAAATGTTTTTGTTTTTCTGTTTCCCGAGACATGACATTAGATTTTACTTTTATTATTCACTGGAATTAACCTTTACTATTTTCAAACGATTAAAAGTTTGGCATTTCTTAACTCAAGTAGCTGCAGCTTCCTCTGTGATTAGTTGTTGCCTTGGAAACTATCAGAGTCTTTTAACTCTCATGCCACAAATTGGTCGCCCATCGCATTCACGCTCCTTTTCTAACTTGGCTGCACCGTACTGAAGACGACAAATAGCCAGAAATACGTATATATGGTTGCTTTACATCGATATACCTATTTTGTTTTTTGTTTTCCTGTTTTTCGGGACATGTTATTATGTTTTATGTGTTACAAAGTTACAAATGTATCTGGTAATTTTTTTCCGGAACACAACGGAAGTTTGTTTTAATTTTTTTCTGTTGTTTTATTATACAATAATATTTATAGACTTCTAAAGTATTACTATATTTAAATAATTTCATATGTATTGTATTTTGTGAAATTTTCTTTCGTTGTTTTTTTGTCTTTTCATACCGTCAGGTTCATTTCAAATCACCATACCACCGAAGTTTTAACGAAAATTTTTTATTTATTAGCACACACTGGATTATAATGATAAACTGTAATATATGGCAACATTGTTAGATTAAAGTTATTGCACACGTCCTTTTTTTGACTTCCTTTAATTTACAAACTGTTTTGTTTACGTTCTTATCTTGACCTATCCACTGTTGTAATTATTGTCGTAGTTTTATTGATAATTAGATATATATACATATATATATATATATATATATATATATATATATATATATATATATATATATATATATATATATATATTTATATATATTATATATATATATATATATATATATTATATATATATATATATATATATATATATATATATATACATGAGACAGAGTGACCAACACAGAGGTATTAAGACGAATGGGTAAAGAGGTGGAATTGTTAACAACTGTTAAAAGAAGGAAAGCGTCATACCTGGGCCATGTGTTCCGTAATGATAAGTACAGTCTGCTATAGCCTATCATGGAAGGCAAGATTGAAGGTAGAAAGAAGAAATCCTGACTGATAAACTTAAGAGAATGGCTTCAAATACCAGAAGCTGCGAATATAATACATGCGGCACAAAACAGAGAAACCTATCGTTTGATGGTCGCCAACCTTCGGTAGAGGACGGCACATAAAGGAGAAGCAGTTTTGCAGATGAGGCAGTTCTGGTAGTTGATAATAAAGACGACAGTGTTAAAGTAAATCATTCTATATGTCAGGATAAAATTATAGTAAAATTATAGAACTATCAGATTTTGTTGATATTAGGACGTAAGTAAGAGAATAAACAAAAGGAGCAACGAAAATGACAGTATGGCCAAACTATACAATATAGGGAACTAAAAGAGCATTTAGACTAAACAAAGAATCAACAAAATAACTATTAGACCTATAATGACCTATTGTTTCAGAATTAAAAACTAAAATAATATGGAAATACCGTATTTAAAGGTACTTTATAAATACGTAAGAAGTAGAAAAAATAAAAATCGATCATGTTTAAGGCTCAAATGAAAAATTGTTGACAATATGATTAGACAAGCTATTAATAGTTACTGATAAAAAATTAAAGAGCCTACCACGATATCCCTACAATTGTTAAAATAAAAAAAATATACATAATCTACTGGATTAATGAAGGTCGTAAATAAAACTCAGCATATATAAATAAATGATACAGTCTTTATAAAACGAGTTACTACATACTACAAAGTCAATATAAAAAAGATATAACATGAAAATTAAGATTACAACTAACATTTACATTCGCACACACATCGGTATTTTCCATCAGGTCCTAATTTGGCTGTTTCCTCAGAACAGTCGCAATTGCATCCATTTTTCCCCGGACAGGCTTGACCTTTGCAGTCATTTTCACATTTGCATGTGCAGGTACATTCGCAGTCTACTTCAGTACCGTCTTTCTTTGTAAATTTGCATTGTTTAATAATGGTGCGCGTTTCTCCTTTCTTGCAACAATCCATTTTCTGAAATCAAGTTTTAATAATGTTAATATAATTAACATGTACAATATATCTGTTAAATATAAAGATATGTCAAATTTGGAATTCGAATTTCTATAGTTTAGTGTTTTGTTTAATATTCCTAAAAATATCGGAATTTATTAGAATTTTTCCATCTGCAAGGAGCCATTTTTAATGAATTTAGAAGAGTAGAATTATCAAATGTAAGTATAAAATGGCACAGCTACTAAATATTTACAAATCCTTAATCCGCAGTAAATTAGATTATGGATCAATTATATATAATTCAGCTAAAGACTCTAAACAACAACTCTAACATTAACAAAAATTGATATTGTACAAAATACCGCATTAAGACTAACTATAGGAGCCTACAGAACCAGTATAGTTGAAAGTCGAAGCAAATAAATCTCCAGTTTCTATTAGAAGATTACGTCTCAGTTTATAATACACAAACAAACTATCAACTAATCCAAACAACCCGGCATACCCCTATGCTTTCTCCACACATTACCATTCTAATTACAATTAAAATCCTAATCTTCGACCATCATTTAGCAAAAGAATTAGCAACTTCACATTTCCGGGTATTAGGCATAACAATATTAATTATGCTCCCCCTTGGACTATACAAATTCCCTATTGTAACACAGATTTGTCAACTTATACTAAGAACAATACCCCTTCATCTCTTTTTCTCCAATACTGCTACAAAAGTAAAAATAAATATTCATCCTGTCAACTAGTTTATACCGATGCATCAAAAACACTCGAAATGGAAACAGTAGGATCCACCATTGTCACAGAGGATTCTGTGTTCAAGTTTCCACTACCTAAGGATTACTCAATATATTCTGCTAAGTTTTTTGCTATATTCAAGGTAGTACAGCAAACTCCTAATCGACCTGAAGATTTGCCAGTAATACTCACAGATTCCTTAAGTGCAATCCAGGAAATTCAGAAAATATATTGAAATCATCGATTTTAGAGCAGATTAAAAAAGACCTTGTGACTCTACAAAATAATCATAAACAACTACATATTGTGTGGATACCATCTCATGTGTGGATACCAGGAAATAAGATAGCTGATCAAATGACCAAAGAAGCTTGTAAAATGGAGAAATCCGATGATAGAACTATCCAAATTCCTCACTCAGATATGATGCACCAATGAGTACACAAAAAACTTATGATTACAAAGACGGCAACTCTTATCAAATAATAACTGACGCACGAACATATGTCCTGAATAGGACATACCAGACTGACGCACGAACATCTACTAAGGAAGGAACTTCCTAGAATATGCTACGCCTGTGACACCTATATAACTGTAGGCCACATTGTAATAGACTGTCCATTATATCAAATGGAAAGACAAGCTACTGGACTACCAAATGGTATAAAGTGCGCTTTAGACAGTGCGGATTGTGACAAAATCATTGAGTTTTTAAAGAAAACGAAACTTTATAATCAAATATAAATGATACTTCAAGAATAATTCTAAATTATAATCAACTTTGTTAAAACTTTATAGTTTGTATTTTATATTAACTATTATAATATATTAAAGTCACCGAGTCATTGAAACGATCACCTGCAGTGCCTAAAAACCCTGATAGAAAAAACTAACGAATATAACCGTCCCTTGGCATTAATATTTATAGACTTTAAAAAGGCGTTTGATACAGTGGAACTACCGTCCATCTTACCAGTCTTGACTACGGAGCAGAGACCCTAACTTTAACAAAAGCTACTGCCGAAAAACTAAGGGGAAACAAAAAGGCGAATGGAGAGATCAATGCTGGGCCTGACCTTGAAAGATCGCGTGAGAAATGAGAATATACGCCGGCGAACTGGCGTAGACATTCTTACACTGTGAATAAATAAACAAAAGTGGAGGTGGGCTGGACATGTTGCTAGAATGGAAGACAGAAGATGGACGAAGAGTGTATTGGAGTGGAGACCAAGAGCCGACAAGCAAAGTCGAGGCAGACCACCCACCCGATGGACCGACGATCTAAGGAGAATAGAAACAAACTGGATTGCAGCAGCTAGAGATAGATAGCCAACAATAGATGTGAACATGGGGCTGGATGATGATGATCATGATGAATATATTAAAGTTCATATTGTACCACCGCTAATACCTTTTATGGTTGATGCGGCTTTTCTCAATAAAATAAAAAAAACATATAAAATGGAATATAAATCTGAGTGAAACCAGACAACCAGAACAACGAACACTCACCACCACTATAAACTTAGGTCATGTCTTTACAAGAACAACCGAGACAAAGACTGGCACAAAGGCGGAGCAGTATTAGTAAACAGAAGACTGAAGAACCGAATTATTTAAGTGAACTCAATATTAGATAGAATTTATATTATGTATTTCTTCAAATATCGCAAAGATACAGACTATAGTATAGTGCATATATAGTGCATGTATATGCCCCAAAAAGCGCAAATGTAGAAATATAAAAATTGATAATTGTTGTTATCAGCATGTAACAAGGGCACGAAAAGTAGAAAACTCGTGCTACTACTTCATTATGAGCGATTTTAACGCCAAAATAGGTGAAATAAACACCGACAACATTATAAACAACAGAAAAAACTTTGGACTGAGTGTAAAACGTAATGAGATAGGGGAAACAGGGAGTTGTATGTTTTATGAACAGTTTCTTTAAAAAGTCACTTCAAAAGTCTTCAAAAGAGCCGGATGGTAGAATAAAAAACCATATCGACATATATCTAATCAAATACATAATAAAATCTGAACTATCTGACACTAAACGAATTCGACTTAGGTAGTGACCATGAACTTGTCAGGGCCGAGGTAACTATTATGCTGGGCAAGAGAAGCAAAACACTCGCAGAATTAAAACAAAATAAGGACATTTATGAGAAAGATCTAAAAAGAGACTCACCAAAAAAGTCAAAAAGCATTGTTTTATTTTATTGTTTTAATAATTATATTAAAATTCAATAAAATTAGAAATTAAATTTAGTAATAGATTTCAAAATCGTATTAATATGTACGTGTGTATGTAAACATTATCTTATCACCGTATTTTTCAAATTATTCAAAAAAAGATATAGGAAATAAATATAGTAAAATATATTAGCAATAAAATCTTATGTATATACCGTTAGATATTGTAATCACACTTCACTTTTAATTGGGGCTCTCGATTACTACAAACTGAGGCAGAATGTTTGAATGTTGGAATCGAGTAACGGCCTCGGTTTTATATTATGGTTCTGTTGTGTCGTGTGCAGGAGGGTTTGCACACTGAAGTATGACAAGAACTACAAGAAATTGGTGACGATTAAACTCTGGCGTGTGCGAAACGGTTTTTATTTTTGCGGTTATATTCTAGAAATATTTTATATTATTTATAATTCAAGATATTCTTTTCAATTTTTTTAATCTGTTTTTAATCGCTAAGAAATTTTTTTATTTATTTTCTACATGGTTGTAGTTGCAATCCTCATTGTTAAATGATGTCTATGGTATAACAAAGACAGTCACAATTAGAGAATCATTAACAATGAAATCAGAAAAATAATAAGAGAGGCAAAACAAATTTACCATGAGAAAAAATGTAAAGAGATGAAAGATCTTCAGAACAAATACAACACATTCAACCTAAATAAAAGGTTAAAGAAATGGCAGGGCTGCAAAATAGAAGCCACAGCACAACAACACAAACATGGAAATACCATGATAACAACTAACGAAAAGCTAAAACGATGGAAATAATATATGAAAGAGCTCTTCGACGACGAAAGAGGAAACGTGCAAGACATATCTTTATAGGACAGAGAAAAAAGTGTAAAAATTACAAAGGAAGAAATATTATATGCTCTAAAGAACATCAGAAACGGAAAAATCCTGGGACCAGATCAACTACATATTGATATTGTTACGATTTTAAATGTTATGGCATATAGAACTGTAAATATTTTATGACTAATTCTTTTATTGATTCTCGTAATTTCTAGGTCAAAAATCTACCTGAATCGAATGTTCTGGGGGCGACAAGCCGATAAAAAAAACATGTTTTGAGACCAGTCGCCGCTGTGTCTACATCGAGAACAGCATGGTATGTTCTACACCTTTCTGTTTACCGGCTTGGAATTATATAAATAAGGGAATACTTTCATTGAGGAACCAGTCATAAGAAGATCGGTAAACGCGGTTTACTTGTACGAAACGTGAAATAAATACATTTGTAAAGTCATTTAATAAATTAGTAATTAGCTATCGTGAGTTTTAATAAATTAGATTATAGACAATAAATTAGAATAAAGACATATAAATTCGAACTATATAAATATATAACAGTGGAGTCAGAAGTGGAATATTCAAATAAAAAAGCGGGATTTTAAATAAATCTAATTTGAATTTGAAATAAAAAGAAGTGAAATATGGCTACAATTAATGAGCTCACAGTTACGGATTTAAGAAGACATCTTGAAGACAGAGAATTAGCTTCTACCGGAAAAAAGGCTGAGTTAGTCCAACGACTAAAGAACGCTTTAAAAGAAGAAGGTTTGGATCCGGAAACTCATATATTTGAAGACAAGCAGGTTGCTGTTGTCATCTCGTCGATTTCGAAATTAGAGAACAAGGTTTCCTGTGATATCGCTTCTTTAGAAAGCAAAGTTTCTAACGAGATTTCTTCTCTGGAAAGCAAGGTTTCTGCTAACATCTCTAAAGTCACCTCTGAGATGTCTGCCCTCGACGATAAAATGTCTTCATTAAAGAACCAAGTTGCTGCCGATATGTTGGCCTTCGAAGAGAAGATAAAAGAGATGGAAAGGAAGATGGAGGAAACAGGGACAGCAGAGAGAGAAAACAATCCAATTATAGCAGAGACAAAAGAAGAGGAGACGAAATGTAAGTTGGAAATACGGCCGAAATTTGAAGGAAGCGGGGGTTATGTTCATGTCAAAGTTCCAACTTTCGACGGAAAATCGTCATGGAACAACTACATGAAACAGTTCGAATCAGCTGCAAGAGCGAATGGATGGTCCGAAAAAGAAAAGGCTGTAAACCTGACTATCGCTCTTCGAGGAGATGCCTTAGATGTGCTCCAGACCATAGCCGTAGAGGAGACGGATGATTTCGAACAACTGAAGAAGAGGTTAAATATGCGATATGGCCACGAACACTTGGAGCATGTATATCAGTCGCAGCTCAAAAATCGAAGACAAAAGAAAGATGAGGCTCTTCAAGAATATGAAGTAGATATCGCCAGATTAGTGCGATATGCTTATCCAACAGCTCCCGAAGACATGATGGAAAAGTTGGCCGTTCAAACGTTTATTGATGGTCTTCGTGATCATGAGATGCAAAGAACACTACGATTAGCTCGTCACAAGACGCTGGTTGATGTCTTATCCGCCGCTCTTGAATACGAGTCAGCCACGCAGGCCTCTGGCGGGTACAGTAAAGTTAGGACTGTAAAAGAGGAAGGAGATGAAGATAAACTTGAACAGCTCGTTAATATGATAAAAAGCATGACATACAAGAAACCGAAGACCATAAGATGCTGGAATTGTGGCGAAATAGGACACGTACGAAGTTCTTGTAAGCATCCTAGGTACGACGCAAATCAAGAAACTCACCATCAGGAAAACTAGAACGGGTCGGCCTTAGGGGGGCAGCTTCGACCCAGAACTTTCCCAAAGACCCTCTCATACTGATAGCTTCTTTGAAATGTCGTGAAGATAGTGTATATGTAGATGGAGAAATAAATGGTAAAAAGCATACGTTGTTGGTGGATACCGGAGCGACAAGAACCATTATTCGCCCGACAGTTATAAACAGCCGTAAGAAACTGTTACCAACGAGGTTGCGACTTCGTACCGCTACAGGTGAAAATGCCAACATTCACGGAGAAATCCAGATACAATTAGGAATTGGAGCAGAAAAGTTCGTCCATACTGTTATAGTTGCTGACATCGAAGAGGATGTTATATTAGGAATGGACGTAATGAATACGCATGGATTCCAATTGGATTTTAAGAGTAAGGTAATCAAAGTTGGTAACGAGGAGGTATTTCTCCATCCACATGATGACAACACTATGCAAGCAGCCGTTAAAGAAGATACAGTCGTGCCTGCGAGAAGTGAAACGATAATAGTAGCGCGGCTACAGGGAATTGTGGACGAAGGAACACCTGTTATGATGGAGCCTTGGAATCATGACGACGAAGTTGGCCGTGGAATCATAATTGGAAAGGAATTGGTGACTTCGGCTAAAGAAATTCCTGTGAGACTTATTAATGTCAATGACTACCCAGTGACCATCAAGAAAGAGACAAAAGTAGGAACTTGTGTACCTGTTACATCCATAATCCGTCAGACGACAACGTCTGATAATTCCAACGACAAATTTGATCAAATGGTTGCAGTTGCTGGACAGTCTCTGAATCAGATTGAGAAAAGGAAATTAAGGGAATTTCTTCGGCAGTATCGTGATATTTTCGTACCAAAAGGAGGAAAGACGGGAAGAACTACCGTTGTTAAGCATAGAATTGATACTGGTAATGCTAAGCCAATTCGTCAAACAGCGCGACGATTACCACAGGCGAAAAGAGAGGAAGCTGAAACGATTGTTCAGGAAATGAAGAAAGACGGGGTAATAGAACCTTCTACGAGCCCATGGGTCTCTCCGGTGGTCCTGGTTAAGAAGAAAGACGGAACAACGAGGTTCTGTGTGGATTACCGTTTGCTGAACAACGTTACCAAGAAAGATAGTTATCCTCTGCCTCGGATTGATGACACATTAGACACATTGGCTGGAAGTAAATTATTCTCTACTTTGGATTTGAAGTCTGGATACTGGCAGGTAGAAATGGACCCGGTAGATAAAGAAAAGACAGCCTTCACCACAGGATCTGGATTATGGCAATTCAATGTTATGCCATTTGGACTTTGTAACGCTCCTGCGACATTTGAGAGACTTATGGAAAATGTGTTGAGAGGGTTATCTTGGAAAACGTGCCTAGTTTATCTAGACGACATAATCGTCTTGGGGGAGACATTTGAGGACCATCTGAAGAATTTAGAAAACGTTTTTAATCGACTTAAAGCTGCCCAATTGATGTTAAACCCCAAGAAGTGCCAGCTATTTCAAGGTAAAGTCAATTATCTGGGTCATATAGTCAGTAAAGAAGGAGTGGCCGTGGATAAGGGAAAAATCGATTCCATTAAGGAATGGCCAAAACCAACTGACAAACATCAAGTGAGAAGTTTTCTTGGACTATGTACTTATTACCGGAGGTTTATTAAGAAGTTTGCAGATATCGCTAAACCATTAACGCGACTTACAGAGGAAGCAAGAGAATACCGCTGGGATGTAGACTGCCAAAATGCCTTTGAGATCTTAAAAAAGCATTTAATCACAGCACCGATTTTAGGGTATCCACTGCCAGAAGGAGAGTTCATCTTAGATACAGATGCAAGTAATGTGGGAATTGGAGGAGTGCTGTCCCAGATTCAGGGAGGACAGGAAAGAGTCCTTGGATATTTCAGTAAAGTTCTCTCAAAACCTGAGCGGAATTATTGCGTCACGAGAAGAGAACTTCTGGCAGTAGTGAAATCAGTAGAGCACTTCTATCAATATCTCTATGGAAGGAAGTTTTTAATCCGAACCGACCATGCCGCCCTTAAGTGGTTGATGCAGTTTAAGAATCCAGAGGGTCAGATAGCCAGGTGGATCGAACGACTCCAAGAATATGATTTTAAGATTGAGCACCGGGCCGGAGTTAGCCACCGAAACGCTGATTCTCTTTCCAGAAGGCCATGCCCAGCAGAGTGTTCTCACTGCAACAAAACGGAATCCAAGGAAGCAGCAGTGCTAAGAACGACGGTGGTCCACGACGACTGGACGCCTACCAAGATCAGGGAAGAACAAGAGAGAGATCCAGTTATACAGAAAATCCGAAAATGGAAAGAGGAAAACCGTCGACCACCTTGGCAAGAAATATCGAACCTAGGCTCAATAGTTAAGACGTATTGGGCCCAGTGGGACTCATTTATCATGGAAGATGGCTTGCTCAAACGAGTCCTGGAAAATGATGACGGTTCAGAGAAGAGAAGACAGTTGGTGATTCCAAAGAGCAGAATAGCCGAAGTACTTCGTCAGTTACACGACAGTCCATCAGGAGGGCATTTTGGTGTGAAAAAGACCCTTCAGCGAATTCGGGAACGGTTTTATTGGATGAACAGTTCCGACGATGTAAAAGACTGGTGTAAGAAATGTACTATTTGTGCTACGAGTAACGGGCCTTATCGAAAAAGGAGAG